GAAAGGAGAATCGCCGCTCGAGACACGCACAGAGACAGCCTCGAGCCATTTGCTCAGCAGCAAAGCGCACTCTAGTGAGCACAGAGAATGTTGGATCGACCAGGTGAAAGTTTGTGTCTTGGCTACGAGCCAGATTCCGATCTTTACAGGAATACTCAATGCATGAGCCGAGTGGAGAAGCGCACGTAGGAGTCTTGGGGACCGTTTTATGGTGGGTATATCCCTCAACGCATTAGCAATCTGTACAGGATCTCGTGTGCCCAAAGCACGCCCGGGACCGGTGTCCATGTTTAGTCGAATATATGCAAGTCGAAGAAGCGCCGTCGAGTTGAAGGCTACGGGGCCATTAGGGTCCATGGGATCAAGTGAAGATTCGGGGTTGCGCTTCCACCCTAGTTGCCAATTGCGGAGTGCCTGCTCTAATGGCGCTATATCTTCAATCGTCAACTCGGGCGAGTCGAATCGGCATCTTGCTGTCTGCCGAACGAAGAATATGTGCTGGATGATAGCGTGTATAAGGATGTAATTGCCGAGAGATGAATGCCACTTCGTTGACTCGTTACCAGCCCCTGAGAAAAGCCATCGCAGCGCGTCTTGGAATTGTGCTGGTTCGCCGGCTCTAGTCTGCGCTTCTTCCCACTTGCTCATGGTATCCGCTTTGAATTCCGCAGCGCTGCACGGAAGCCGCATCTTGAGCTCAGAGTTGAGAATCAGTGGCGGGATATCGTATACAATGCAATGCAGATTAAAGAAACAGAAGACTATGTACTTTGTTCTGATCACGCTCTCGTATCGTATCCATTCTTCCCAGGTTTTAGGGGTTTCGTGCATAGCCTCAGCGCGCAATCCATCATCACGAACGAGACTAGCAAGAACGCTTTGTATTGCAAGTGCCTCCCGCAGGATCTCTTTGTGCTTGGCCCAAGTTGCCATGGCCATCAATATTAGAAGAGCTTGAGCTGATTGCATCAAGTCCTCCTTCGGTTGGAAGTTGGCAGTCGAGGTGTCCGGCTCAGATGGGAGGCCAAGTGGCCCGTTGACCGTAGGGCTATGTGTTGAAGCTCCTTGATCGGGTACGGCAGGGCTACTGAGAGCAGATCCGCCCGAGTAGACTGATTGATCTGGCTCATGTTGCCTTTGATACAATGCAATTCTCGCATCTCTTCTTCGTATGCGCTCAGTGGCAATGGCCCTCGCTGCGTGGAAGAGATCTAGCCCCTGTTCTGCCTCGAAGCAGTACTGTGCGCCAACTGCTGCCATCGCGAGCAGAAGCTCCACAGAGCAACCTTCCACAGACATGGAAGGAATATGCAAGAACGGCAGGTGCTCATGAAAGCCACCTATGTATGCACGTATGTATCGTGCAAGAGACAATCTACTAGGCAACTGAAAGTGAATAGGAACTGTGACGAATTCAGATATAGTTTGTACCATGCACTGCCTGTCTTCGTTGGAGATGTCCGAGACTCTTTTAGGATATGTTGACGCGCGGTAGATATCGGGATGGTTTTGTAGGTTATTGTTTGTATCCAGTGTGTCTATGGCTTGTTCTTCAGGCTGAAGAGATGGAAGTCTAGACCCGAATCGCGAAAATGAATTCGGGTCATCTAGAGGGCCGTGACCCTGGACTCCATTCGCATTGTGGTTATGCTCGATGACATTGTCCCGCAGGTCTCCCAGGTCTCCCAATGGATCAAATGAGAAGAATGGCATGGGCTGTTCCGTGGTAACCAGCGATGTAAAATGGTAAGATGACAGAGGCTCACTCTCGAAGAACGCTGTGAAACTGTCGAAGGGATCGCCCAGGTCGCCATGCTCAGTCCGGAAGGTCGGGTCTTCAATACCCATAGACGGGTGCATCGTCTCTGGTTGGCCAACATGGTCGATGTAAGGCTCCGGAGGCATTACCGAGGCTCCAGGGTATGTTGATGTGGTAGATGCCATAAGAGAATCCTGAAATGCGGACTGTTCTGCAGCCAGCGAGAGTGCTACCAGAGGAGATTCATGAGGGTGACTGGTCGACATATGAGCCGGAGTATGCCCATTTGTAAGGATAGGAACATTGTGAAAGTCAGTGCTCTGTAGGTTCGCAGGGCTGCTTCGCGCTGCTGGAGCTGCTGGAATTGGTGGCTGCTCTTGTTGCCCCCCTTGTGAGCTGTCTGCACCATTCAAAGGTGAGATCCTCGGTCGTTTCCGCGCTGAATTATGGTCACCCTCAGGAAGTGAGACATCATTTTCTTGTACTCGAGGCTCCCCTCGCTCTTTAACGAGGTTGTGAGAAAGCCGCTCATGTCGAATGAGTAAATCACTATTGTGTAGCTCTATTAGTCGATGAACTTGAAGAGTTGATATGCTAAATAGTGAGGTACCTTCTTGTAAATCGAGACTCGCATCGACTACAACCGAACGGTCTCTCTTGCGTATCTAGAATATCATGTTAGCTTCATGTAAAGCGCAATTGCCATGTATGCTTTTGAGATGATTGATATGTTTGAGCACGGGTAGAATCGCAAATACTTACGGGTCCTTTCGTGGCGTTGTAAGTGTTCCAGGCGGCCGAACAACCTCTGACAGCGCCCGCACTGGAAGCGTTTTGGCTTCTTATTTTTGCCTGACAATTGGTCCGACTCATGCACAATAATGTGATCAAGAACTTCGCGGGATGGCATCGCATGAGTTTCAGAAAGTACACACTCTTTTGTGGCTGTGATGCATTGTGGAGGAGGACGAGTTACGTAGTAGGTTGGGGAAGCAGAAGACATGCCGGCCCCCCGGTAGGGGGATCGGGCCAGCAGATACTTTTTGTTTGTGCGGCGCGCGGCACTTGGCCGAGCCAGGGCTCCAGGGGTGTCAGTCTCGGTATGCTATTGCCGACTCATTACCCCTCTCCATCTTTCGATCAGCAGTGCATGTCAATCTTAGCTCGACATCGTAGCACATGTAGTACAGATACAGATATCCGAGCAGATGTCACAGAATAGTCAAGAAGGCTGATATAATCTAGAGTTGAATGCATAGGGAAATAGATCTAGGGTTGATTGGTATATTCTTTCCCAGAAATTGATTCTAGAAAGGCCATGCAAATGACTATGTCCAGCTCCCCCCGTGTAAGTCTCAATGCAACTAGGCCGTTAATTGCCCTATTCCATTCTCTTCTTGATGCAATCAAATGGTCATGCTTTATGCCGCTTTATCTCCCAGTTCTCTCGCCTTCTCGCCCTTCTCTGCCATCTCGTTCAGGACCTTTTCTGCCGTCTTCATGGCCTCGACTCCGGCTGGAACACCACAGTAGGTGGTGCAATGCAGAATAGCCTCCCGGATCTCGAGCTCCGTGAGTCCATTATTTCTCGCACCGCGGACGTGGACTGCCAGTTCAGGCGTCCGGTTCAAGGCCATCAGCATGCCAATGTTGAGCAAGCTGCGCTGTTTCTTCTCGAGGCCTGGTCGTGTCCAGGCGTAGCCCCAACACCATTCAGTGACGAGCTCCTGGCCAGGCTTGGAAAATTCGGTGGAGCCAGCAGCGAGCGCACGATCAACGTATGCGTCACCGACCACGCTGCGCCGCATCTTGAGGCCCTCCTCAAATAGCTGCTTGTGCAGCGCGTCGAACTTGGGATCGGTACTCATTTTGTGGGTGATGAAGGGGATTATCGATGTCTCGAGCACAATTTCAGGATCGATGTTACAGAGACGCAGTCTATTGCGCTGTTCGTGTTCTGTCTCTTGCCAGGGCTCAAGGAAATTGATCTGAAGTAAATACCACCACCTCCGGAGCTCACCGCGGGGAAATTTGTACGGGATAGGTTATTGCGAGGTGAGGGGCAACCACTCGCAACAAGTCTGCCGTCTCCGCAAGGAGATCCAGGACGCTCTTCTACGTAAAGCCTTCTTGAATGAGTTTAGTTCGGAAATAGTACAAGACGGTCTTGAAGCTGTCCCATTTTCATCCTGAGAACATGGAGCCAGGGAATACTCCATGTGGGGGTGGGCATTACTGATGGTTATTTTCTTTCCCCTCATGTGGAGATGTGGAGGTGGCGCAGCGTTTCCTGGAGAATGAGTCGTTCTTGTTCCACGAGGAGGTCTCATCAGCCAAGCTAGCACCAACCCGGAATTGGATTGTGAGGCTAAACGTACCAGGTTGTCGGGGCTACTCCCATGCTTACCTTTACCCCAGATACTCCCATGAGCCAGGTAGAAGCATATCAGACCGCGGCGTGGTCCTGGAGGGCACAACTCATTCGCCTATATCATCGATCTGACGCCCAGTGGATAGATAAGAACCTTCTGTCGTGTCTACAACTCTCACTCTTGAGTCTGTACAAATCAAATTCGCAGCTTGGCGCTCCCATACAACACTTGAGAAATGTCGTCCAGGGCCTCAGAAGAGAAGGTCAACACTGACCTTCGTGAGTTCTCGCATGATGAACCTGACCCACTTGAGGACATCGAGCGGCGAAAGAAGGAGAAGGCTCTTGTTCGCAAACTTGACTGTTATGTAGCTCCCGTGATGATGCTTCTCATGCTCATCAGTTACCTGGATCGAGGCAATATTGGGTTTGCAGCTACACAGGGAATGACCAAGGACCTTCATCTTAAAGGAACAGATCTAAATGTAGGCATTCCCACGCCTCCGAAGGAAACACAGTTACTAACCTGCATTCTTTTCACACAGACCGCTGTCTCGGTCTTTTATATTTTCTACATCCTTGCTGAGTTTCCCACATCAATTCTCGTCAAGCGTCTTCAGTTCAACCGTGTAATTCCCACCATTACTTTCTGTTGGGGAATAGTGTGTCTTTGCACTGGCTTTGTACACTCCTTCGGTCCCCTCGTGGTAACACGTATTCTACTCGGTTTCTTCGAAGGGTGTCTCTTCCCATCAATGACACTATTCCTTTGCAACTGGTACAAGCGCGAAGAGTTAGCGGTGAGAGTGGCATTCCTCTTCAGTAAGTGAAGACCCGTCTACTATGTTCCCTTGTACTTTCGCTGACAGGTTTAAAGTTGCATCTGCTTTATCCGGTGCTTTCGGTGGGCTTCTTGCGTGGGCCATGCTGCATATGGACGGAGTGTCGAACATGAGTGGTTGGCGATGGTGAGCTCCTGCTCCATAACTTGGACACTGAGCAACACTGACCAGAATTATCTCCAGGCTCTATATCATTGAAGGCCTCATCACTGTTGTTTGGGCTGGGTGCTGCATCTTTGTCGTGCCTAAGAACTATGAGACGGCCTACTTCCTGAATGAAGAAGAGAAGGCAATCATGCGAAGACGCGCTGAGGAAATGGAGGCTTATAGTGGCGGTTCGGGACACTACGGAAAGAAAGAAATCAAAGAGGCTGCAAAGGATATCAAAAGTTGGGTCCACGGTATCATTCAGATTGCTGTTGTTACCATTCTCTATGGTGAGTATTCTACGTACAACGTTTTGAGAGCATGTACTCATAACTGATAGGTTTTGGAACCTTCCTGCCTATCATCATCAAGGATGGGTTCCACTATTCCACGGTTCAAGCACAGTACTTGGTCATCCCAGTGAACCTGTGGGGTGCTATCGTATACGCGGTCGGTGCAGTTCTGTCGGATAAGTACCAGAAGCGCTTCCTTCCGCTTGTAATATGCGCTCCTTTCGGCATCGTAGGATATGCAATCCTCCTCGCCGATGTCCCAGCAGGCGTCCGATATTTTGCTACCTATCTCATTGCAACTGCTTGCTTCTTGTGCACGGGAGGTAATATTGCTTGGCTCTCTGGCAATTGTGCTCCTGATGGCAAGCGTGCTGCCAGTCTCGGCATATTGTTGAGCTTAACAAACATTGGTGGTGTTGTTTCCGGTCAGATTTACCAGTCTAATGCCGCGCCTGCATATACACTCGGTCATGCATGGTCTCTAGGCTGTTTAGCTTTTGCATGGTTTGGATGGTGGATTGTGAGATGGATCTATATCAGACGCCAAGTTGCAAAGGAGAAGGCACTGGCCGAAGGCGTGGTAGTCCCGCCTGAGGAGTATACTGATCGGGCACCGGACTTCAAGTACCAAATTTAGTCAAATCTGAGCGCCAAACGCTACACAGGCTATAGTCTCAAACAATAGGTTTCTTCATATCAACCAAGTTATACAATTCACATTCCAGTGGTATTCTTCATGGCCTATTGCTTTAGCGAAGTGAATCAAGCAACTTGATTAAAATGTGGTTCTTGAATGTGGCTCAGATCGTCCGGTTGCCATTTAGCTTAGAAAACCTTTAGTAGTCAGGGTTGATCAATTGCTGACAAATATATCACACTCCCGAAGTATTATGGGGTACCGGCATACAATTAGAGATGTTCAGTATTTGTAAATTTAGATAGAAACTCTTTATGCTCTATTATGAAGAAGCCTCAGATGCTAGCTCAGCAATAATGGGTGCGGCTACATGAGCTGTATGCACGCTTAATAATGTACAAAGCTCCAAAACCTCAACAATTTCTTGAGGAGTAGCACCATAACCCAGCGCATTCTTCATGTGCAGTTTCAGGCCAGGAACGTAAAGATGGGTCGCAGCAGCATCAAAGGCGCAATACACGAGTTCTTTCATCTATTTGACAGTCAGCGTAGTTCCGAAGAGAGTTGTCTAGGTCGGATGCTCGTAGATCATGAATTCTACCTTTGGCTCTAAAGCTCCTTTCCCTGGGCTCCCATTACCCTCGATATCCTTAACCCAAGGTACGCTTGAGAATTCAAGATAGGCCTTGAAAAATTCAGGATCCAGTCTTAGGAAGTCTTCCCAAAAGGTATGCCAATAGCCTCGCTTTTGAGTAAAATCCTTCATCAGACTCTGTTGGTCCTCATCGAAGGGTTTTGTTATCTGATCCTGAAACTTGCCCTCCTCTTTCAAAACTTCCACGAGCAATGGCACACCAATGTTGCATGCATGAATACCTAGCGTGCTAGACAATTCGATAACCTCCAATACCTCATAAATGCTGGCGCCCTCTTTCAGCGCGGCTGAGACATGTGTGCGGATCCCCGGAGCATATAAATGTGTTGAAGCACTGTCCACCGCTAGCGAGATGAGGGATTGGTTCTTTCTCGATAGATGAGACTTCTGTCGCGGGACGGAGTGTAGCGACAAGCTGGCAGAGAAGAACTTGGGGTCGAGTGAGAGAAGAGATTCCCAGCCTTTGTCAAAAGCCTCTTCGCCTAGCTGGGCAGTGAACTTCTCCTTGAGTGCTTTCTGTTGTTGGTCCATAATTGTTGCTTCAGTTGACGACTGCCTGTTGTCGTTCTTGTTGCATGGGATTGTCTACTGCCTGTGGTTAAATCGAACCGGCTACCTAGGTACGTTCACGATTGCGCGCGTTGCTTTTACCCCTATTTTACCGTTCTAGAGTACGACTAAACAGACGAATATGCTATTCGATAGGGCGAGGAGAAACAGTCAACATTTGCATCCACAATGCCTTTGAAAGTAATCTCATATGTGAACCGAATCAAACTCTGGCTTCTCTTGGTAAGTAGACCAAGCCGTATCCGATTCAGAGACTCCCGGAATCTCGCCGGGGTAGGAGTAAGGAATCTCCGCACCCCGCTATTGTCCCAGGTCCGGGGGCCGCTAACAAGGCTCTCCCCTCCCCCACACTGCATAAGCCGATCCTGCAAGAAGTGGTATATCCCCTCTCGCCCTCTCAAAGCTCAAAGAGCAAGGAGTCCACGTGATGTGGGGAAAGGTTAGTCGCTCAAGGCTCTATGGGTGACCAACATTACATGGTGAATAAGACTTCTACACCGCTCTAGTCGTATGCGTTAGTATGATAAGTGGGCAAATCCTGAGTCTAATTTCTTATACGAAAGCGTATCTTCGAGGCTGGGGCTCGAGGTGGTATAGCATAGTGTCGCAGAACTCACGCTGCGCATGGAAAGTAGGATAATGCAGATAATGGTAGCCATAAGAGCAAACGCATCAATGCAATTTGTATTAACCACAATCATCTGTAATGGGATCCATGATTCAGTTCTAGGTCTACGAAGAAGCACCGAAGAAACGAGCTCGGTTTGTTCTACGGGATTCCCACTCAATGTCGTGAGCGAAGATGACCTCTACGCCTTTACTCTCTAATTTCCTGATACGGTCGATGGTTTCCTCTGCCTTTGAACGGTTGGCGTGGATGCAGCATAAATGACCGTCAGCGTCCTGCCACTCTCCAATGGTTTTCTCTCCTCGGATGATACGGCGGTCATGGCAAGCGTCACCAGCAAGGTATACCCACCGGGTTCCGTCGTTTTCCTCGTCGTCAATACGAGCCAGGAGATTAATGTGACCAGGGAGATGACCTGGAGCGTCTACGATATAGAGACTGCCATCCTGAAATAGGTCGAGTACCGCGGGTAGCTCATCAAATTGCTCCCATGGCCCATGAGTAGCAATAGCAAATGAGATATTGTGCTTCTCATTTCCATTCACTTTCTTCGTAGAAGGCTCAGCAAGCTCGATTGTTCGCGTGGGATCCAGCAAGTCATCTTCGAAAAACGAATGACCTCCTTTTAAACTTGCCGAGTTGCCTTGAAGCAGATCTAGAGAGCCATTACCCACAATGAATTTGCTGGTGGGGAAGTCTCTGGGCTCCCCAACGTGATCCCAATGTACCTTGATCTCATGTTAGAGAAGTACAATAATTCTGGGTAGAATCGTATGGTGAACTCACATGAGAGTAGATAACATAGTCAATGTCGTTAGGAGTAAGACCTCCCATCTCGAGACTCTTTACCACGTCCGGATGGGTTGTCATAGGCTGCCTCGTGGCAACATGTAGGCGGATGGGCTCTGAGTATCGATCGATATTCCGTCGTAACCCCAGGTCAAATACAATGCGTGTTCGTCTTTTCGTTACAGGGTTTGTGTGCTGCACCAGAAAACTCAAAGAAGGTACTGTTTTCCGCGCGCCATTTGATGATGGGCAGACAAATTGCTCCTCGGGAAGAGAGAAATGACCAGCCGAGAGCGCATGGACCTGAACCGTTACAGCCCCTTCTACTTCTGTTACTGTCGGTTTTTCAACCTCTGAAAGAGAAGAAAGGATGCTGGGCGGGGAGAGAAGTGTCAACGACATTGGCCGCTGTGGTCTGGAGCTGGGTATGCGCTTTTCCTTTTTGTTTATTGAAGATATTCGACATGTTCAGCTCGATATTCCTACAGGAGTACTCTTATTGCTTCTCGAAAAGAGCAAACATTCATCCATAGCCTCCCCCCACCAATGTGATCATCCCCATATCGGCCACATTTTTGGGGTAAGTGTCCTCCAAGGTACTCACCCCCAACGCTAACGTTAGCCCTGTTTCCCCGCATATAGCACATGTTTCCATGAGAGCATACATTGCGATTACTTTGCTATCAACAGCCCTTATGTTCAAACCAATTCCATGTCTGTGTGTGACCGATGAAATTCAAGAAAGAACTAGATTTCCAAAGCTCTCTCAAGTTCTGAATGATGACTGCAACTACGAATGATGCACTCCCCACTTCGATAGGCTTTGTTGGTCTCGGTGCAATGGGGAAGCCCATGGCCGTCAACCTGGCCAAGAAGCTATCTCCAGGGTCACACATACACGTTCATGATGTCGTGTCCAGCGCCGTAGAGGAACTCTGCACATCATTCCCTGACATTATCGTCAGCTGTAGAAACGCGAGGGAGGTCACCGAAAGATCGGTATGTCTCAGTCCGCGTTAATCAGATCATCACTAACGAAGTGCTTTCCTGCAGGATGTAATACTTACAATGCTACCGGAAGGCGCCCACGTAAAATCTGTTTATCTCGATTCGATCTCGGGAATTGTCGCCGCTTTAAGTTCCTCCTCGTCGCCTGCCTCTAAACTGCTAATTGATTCTTCCACAATCGACACCGCAACTAGTCTGCATGTGAAGCAGCAGTTGTCTGTTCTAGCACCTCAAACGGCTTTCTATGACGCCCCAGTTAGTGGAGGTGTAATCGGAGCTGTTAATGCTACCATTGCCTTCTTCCTCGGCTGCGCACCTTCAGATCCCAACATCCCCCGCCTAACCACTTTGTTAAGCACGATGGGATCCAAAGTTATACCCTGCGGAGGACCATCACTTGGTCTTGCTGCGAAACTGTCCAATAACTATCTCTCTGGAATCATAACAATTGCGTGCTCAGAAGCTATGGACATGGGGATGCGGGCAGGCATACAAGCGGATGTTCTAGCGTCTGTCTTCGCTGCTGGGACTGCACAAAACACGATTTGCGACGTCTTCAACCCTGTGCCCGATGTGTGTCCCAAAGCCCCGTCATCAAATGGTTATCAGGGAGGATTCAGGGTGCAGTTGATGAAGAAAGATATTGGATTGGCTGTGGACATGGCAAGGAGACTCGGCACACGGAACGTCCTTGGTGCAAGCGGCTTAGGAGTGTACACAGCGGCAAGCCAAGCTGAGGACTGCAAGGATCTGGACTCGAGAGTCGTGTACCGATACTTAGGGGGGGTGGAGAGTTGGAAAGACAAGGAAATATAACCAGATAGATTCTAAACAGTACATTCCACTAGGCACCAGCCTAATGAGTCCTTACCAGCCCCTGTTGACCAAAATAAATATGCCGATTATGAACGCCAACACAGTCTCTTTCTCCAACCAAAGTAACGCCCCTGCGAAACACATTTATCCAAACCCTCTATTTCTCCATTCCAGCGAGCAATATCCTACTCCTTCTCAATTTTGTTCTGTACGTGAGTGAAGATGCAATGAATGAAACCATAAGTACTGGAACCAGAATCCCAGCAAGTATTCCGGCGATCTGTCCTGGCGCCAGTGCCGTCTTCTCGTCGGAGTATGGATAAGTGTTGTCTTTTGTGCTGGTTAAACACGGACCCACTTGCTTTGCTGCGAGTGCATAGAGTTGCCCAAGACCTTCTGGAGGGTTAGACAGAATGTCTGCACATCCAGCGAGGCTCGAGTTCTGCAACCGAATTAGCTTTGCTGTTTTTGTTAGATTGCAGACCGCAGAGGAGTCTCTACCGCTTCACAAGCACTATGAATTGCAATTCGATT